TTTTAAAAAATATTGTTTTGGTAGATAGGTAGAAAGCTTAAAATCCAATGCTCTCATCAAAATAAGCAATATGGCCAAGTGTTCTATCCAAACTATTTCTTTTTTTAGGGAGAAATATAATTAATGAATAATGAATAAGAAATACTTAACCCATATCAATGGTAGTTACTATTTGAACATCAACTATGAATCTGTCCTGAGGCTGAAATTTCTAGTTTCATTTTTCATTTTAAGTCACAAACAATCTATAAGATAGATATTGTTATCATCATTTTGCAGTTAAAGAAACTAAAACTTGAAAGCCCAAGTGATTTATCAATGGTTAAAGAGTTAGCATCTGAAAGTTAAGATTCACTTTGATTCAAAATTAATTTTACACACTAATACACCAGAAAAATAACCCATTAAATAATTGCACCAAAACCAAAAATATACAAATGGGACTTAACTAAACCAAATATCTTCTGCAAAGTGAAAGAAATAACCAACAGAGCGAACAGGAAACAGACTGAATGGGAGTAACTGTCTGCAAATTATGCCTCAGACAAAAAGCTAATGTCCAGACTCTACAAAGAACTAAACAACTCTATATGAAAAAAGCATAAACTCCATCTAAAAGTGGGCTAAGGACTTGATTTGACACATCTCAAAAGAAGACACACAAGCAGCCAGAAAACGTATTTTCAAAAATGCTCATCACTAATCACCAGAAAAATGCAAAATTAAAACCATAATGAGATATCATCTTATGCCAGTCAGAATGGCTACTATTAAAAAGTCAAGTAACAACAGGTGTTGGTGTGGTTGCAGAGGAAAGAAAACACTAATTCCCTGTTGTTAAATTGTAAACTAATTCAACTTTTATGGAAAATAGAGATTTTCAGAGAACTAAAAATTAAATTATTATTCGACCCAGCAATCCCACCACTAGGAATCTAGTTCGGTCTCCATGGAAAACAGTATGGAGACTTCTCAGAGTACTAAAAATTGAATGACCATTCAGCCTAGCAGTCCCAATACTACAATCTATCCAAAGGAAAATAAATCATTTTATTAAAAAAGATAGCTGTATTCATATGTTCATTGCAGACTATTAACGAGCAAAAATATGGAACAAACCTCAGTGCCCACCAATGATTGACTGGATAAAGAAAATGTGATATATATATATATATATATATACACCACACCTGTAGCCATAAAAAAGAATGAAATCAGCCGGGTTTGGTGGCTCAGCCTGTAATCCTACACCTTTGGGAGGCTAAGGTGAGTGGATTGTCTGAGCCTGCAGGTTCCAGACCCACCTGGGCAACTTGGTGAGACCTCATCTCTACAATAAAACAGAAAAATTAGGCAGGTATGGTAGCGTGCGCCTGAAGTTCCGGCTACTTGGAAGGCTGAGGCGGAAGGATCGCCGGAGCCCAGCAGGTTGAAGCTTCGGTGGCTGGGAGCATGACACTGCACTCCAGTCTGGGTGACAGAGTGAGACTCCAACTCAAAAAAAAAAATAAATAAAATAAATAAAAAATAAATAAATAAGAAAACTAAAAACAAATTTGTAATCAACATGTAATAAATTAAAGCGAATTGAAGAACAAAAAAGGAAACTACATCTCATATTAACTCATCTCTTTTTTTTTTTTGAGTTGGAGTCTCACTCTGTTGCCCAGACTGGAGTGCAGTGGCCGCTCCTGGCCACCGCAGCCTGGACCTGCTGGGCTCTGGCGATCCTTCTGCCTCAGTCTTCCAAGTAACTGGAATTACAGGCATGTGCTACCACGCCCGGCTGATTTTTTTGATTTATTGTAGAGATGAGGTCTTGCTGCCCAGGCGGGTCTCGAACCCGCAGGCTCAGGCAAACCACTCACCTCAGCCTCCCAAGGTGTGGGATTACAGGCTGAGTCACCGAGCCCGGCTCTTTTTTTTTTGTTTTTAAAGCAGTATTTATTAAGAGGACAGAAGAGTTCCCACAGTGGGAGGGTACCCAAAGGGGTTGCCCTATCTCCCCATCTTAATGCCTATTTTAGTGCATTTACTTTTGGTCTTTGTTCAAATATGTGCTATATGTGTGTGTGTTTATATGTGTATATATTTTGCATAGCTGTAATAAAATATACACACACTTTCTCTTTTTAAAAGCTGAACTAACTATAAACATCTATTACTCATGCATAATCCTCCAAATTATTATTTTACAGCAGTGTATAATATCTCATTCCCCTATTTATGTTGGTAGCCTAAGGAGATTTAGTTCATACCCAGTGTTCTAATATAAATAGGGACAGATCCAAGTTTTGTGGGACTTGAATCTTTTTCTTTTTTTTTTTTTTGAGTTGGAGTCTCACTCGTTCGCCCAGACTGCAGTGCAGTGGCCGCACCCGGCCACCGCGGCCTCGCCTGCTGGGCTCCTGCGATCCTTCCGCCTCAGCCTTCCGAGTAGCCGGAATTACAGGCGCGCGCTACCACGCCCGGCTGATTTTTGGATTTATTGTAGAGATGAGGTCTCGCTGCCCAGGCGGGTCTCGAACCCGCGGGCTCAGGCAATCCACTCACCTTAGCCTCCCAAAGGCGTGGGATTACAGGCTGAGCCACCGATCCCGGTTGAAATTTTAACATTTTAATGATTTGTTTTTTATTTTATTTTTGAGTTGGAGTCTCACTCTGTCACCCAGACTGGAGTGCAGTGGCCGCTCCCGACCACTGCAGCCTCTACCTGCTGGGTTCCGGCGATCCTTCCACCTCAGCCTTCCAAGTAGCTGCAACTACAGGCACGCGCTACCACTCCTGGCTAATTTTTTTTTTATTATGTATTGTAGAGATGAGGTCTTGTCAAGGTGCCCAGGTGAGTCTCGAACCCTCGGGCTCAGGCAATCCACTCACCTCAGCCTCCCAAAGCGCGGGATTACAAGCTGAGCCACCGAGCCCGGTTGATTTGTTTTTATTAATTAGTGTTTCCAAATTAGGTTGTAAGATTCTTGAGGGTAGGGACTATGATTACTATGAGGATAGGTATCTTTATACCCTCAACACTTAACATAGTGATTGGTATCTAATAGTCACTTGAATGAATAAGAAACAAATTAGTGAGGTGATTAAGAATAGCATCCTACCGGGTTCAGTGGCTCAGCCTGTAATCCCGTGTCTTTGGGAGGCTGAGGTGAGTGGACTGCTGAGCCCGCGGGTTCGAGACCTGCCTGGGCAAATTGGCGAGACCTCATCAAAAAAATCAGCCGGGCATGGGGAGGCTGAGGCGGAAGGATCGCCAGAGCCCAGCAGGTCGAGGCTGCAGTGGCCAGGAG